ATAGATGAATGGAAGGCATTTGGGCCTGCTCTTGGATGTACTCCTTGTTAATGAATTTTAGGCATTTTCTACAGTGAGAAGGGAGGATTTGATAAGAAGATAGAATCGTTACTTGTATGTGGTAGCACTCTGCTAATACTGTTTTGCAAACTGTTCCCACCTCAACTTTGGCTCTGCCAGAGGTTTAGAGGAGTCCTTTGCTAAGAAAGGGTGAATATAAACATTTGTCTGTTTAATTTTGCTTACCTTTCATATCTTTTTGTCTTAAACACAAGATTTGATTTTTGTATTGGAGAAATTGGACCTTCTCTCCTGTCATCACCAAAACGTCCTTTGTTTGAGGGCGTGTCAAGTGTCAAAAATTCTCACAAACATTTAAACTAAAAATGTGTTATCAGGACTTTATGGTGTCAATGGACAAGCTTATCCTTCTCAATTCAATAGACTGTCTAGCTTCACGTCCAAAACTTGTGAAATTTTTGTGATTGTCAGGGGATGAGAAAGACAAGCACACTTAGAAGTAGCAAAGAACTTGTGCACATACATAGTCGTATACTTAATGTACATGTCAACTCAAGATTCTGTTCTAATTTACACTTCTTATTAGTTACCAGCTTTTTTCTGACTCTGTTTTATATTTATACACATATACAAAATTTGGTAACAGAGACGAGAGCTTTTTGCTCATATTTTTTTTTTAATGTATCACAATGAGCAGGAAACATACTTGATGAAATATTTTCAAAGGAGTATATTTAATTACCATCTACAATCAACTTAACTATGACAACAAAGTTTTTGTGACAAATTTTTTTTTTCTTTTTTCAGTTTGAAAGTTCCATGTGGTTCTGTTTGTTAGTCTTCCATGTATTTTGGTACAGTTCGAGATCAGCATTGTTACAGTAACAAAAAAGCTAACAAGACTACATTATAGAAAAACACCAAGAACATCATTTTTGGTTTCACTTGCTCTATTTTTTTTTTTTTTTTTGTACATTGCAAAGGCTGTTCATATACCTCTTCACCTCAGGGTCACGTTCATTTATGCTTCTTTCCTACTCAAACTTGCCCCCCCCCCCCCCCCCCCCCCGCAAAGTAAACAAACAAAAGAACTAGTCAAAGCTTTGTTTCACAGTGGGCAGTATCTCAGCGCCAACAAACAACCAACTCAATCTATGCTTCTATTTAAAATGTTTTAATTTAATTTATTTAAAAAAAATATATGTCCATGAACATCAAGTGCACTGGTCACCGCCTCTCTCCTGCAACTTCCTGCCCTGCCTGATAAACTCAGGTTTAAACACATGCCGTCTGTTTTACTTTCTTTTCAATTATGTAAAACTTTGGCCACATTCATCTCTTTAAATAGCTTTTAATTTAACAAAACAAAAGCTTCCTAGCTGTATTAATCTTTTTTCCTTGTTTTTATTTTTTTGTGTTTTTAAAATTTTTATTATTCTTTTGGAAAGATGGAGGAAGGATGGGTGAAGTAACTCCCATTCTGGGGGTCCTTTGGCGCTATGACTGGTGTCCAGCACCAACCCACACTATGGAGTATTTTAAAAAAAAAAAAACAACAATGGCGGCGAACAACTAATTTAAAAGTGTGTTGAGATATCCTACTCAGCTACCTACTATGCAGCAGATAGGAGTAAATTCCCCGAGTGAGATCAATCTAAATATTAAACAGTTGAGCATTATAGTGAACTTCATGCTTTTTAAATGATACCAGTCACAGCCACAGTGAATGTCAGCCCACAAACATCTAAAGAGCTCACATTTGACGTTTAATCTTCACCATTACTGAGTGCTTTGCTACGTATGGGTTAATGCTGAGAATGATTTTTTTCTTTTTTTGAGTGAACATCTATGTGGGCATATTAGCTGTAGAGGAAAGCATTAAGTAAGTATGCAGGCCCACGCCATGTTGAAACAAACACAGCCCCTCTGAGGAACATTGGCTAAGCATGCTTCCACCCACCAATTTACCCAACCACTTTGCTGTCACCAAACACACCCACAAGTCAAGGCATGGCATACCAAAATACCAACAGTCACTCTGCCTCACAAAGGGAGGATGGCATAGTAGCTAGAAAAAAAGATAGAAAAAGAAAAGAAAGAACCACCGGGTGCGGGGTGGGCAAAATTACAAGGAAATGAACTTAAATTTGGGAAGGGAGAGATGAGGTGGGAAGGGAAAGAAATTGCACTGTTACCGAGCAATACCATTTTTAAAAACAAAGACTTCAGGAAAGACCTAGTAGGATTTGACAGGTAAAGCTAGTGTTAAAATTGTTAACTGGTATCACATAGAGAACCAAAAACAAAAACAAACATTTTTTTTTTCTTCTATATGATACAAACACAGAGTAACATACAACAGGTAAATGGCAAAAAATATATATATATATTTCATAGAGTTACAAACAAGATAAAATAATGGAAAAAAACTGTACAACTTTAAAATTTAAAAATGTTCATCTCAAACACAGGGAGAAAATACAAGAATTCTTGTTAAAAGAAAATAGCTTGTTAAAACAGCAAATGTTTTGTGTACTTTTTTTTTTTTTTTTGACAACTTATGCTACAACTGGATACTGGTATGAATAATTAGATGGTACTCTTTAGTATTTCTACTTAAAATTTTTTTTAAAGGAATTTGCACTGTGCAACAGCCTAGTTAGAAATATGTACAACAGTTCAGGATCTACTCTTCCATTAGACTAAAAACCAAATTCATAAAAATGAAATAGTCCCGGCTAAAAAAGAAAAAAAAGAAAAAACTTATTACATTTTCAGATCTTGGAATGCTCCAGTCTTTTTGCAAAGTCAATGAGTGGCTTCAGCACTGGGGAAAGAAGCCTGAAAGGTGACCAAATGGAACCAGCATTCACAGTCTTCAAAGTTCCCTTTTGAAACATAAGGAAGAGAATGAAGGGGGAAGAAGGATTTCACACTTTTGGGGTGAGGGGAGATTGTTTCTGTTGATGTTTGGCTATGAAAGTGAAACAGCAAAGCATCTATTTGTCTTCAAATTCTACGTTTTAGCAGCAGTTTTCCTTTCAAAGTTCAGACCGTTTTTTAAGATAAGGGGTGTTGCATTGTGTTGAGTGTTACAGGAATACGCATATTAACATAAACACAAGCGCCTCACCTACGGGTTTTTGCTTTTTGTACATTGCTATCTGCTTCTTTGTTGGCTGCACTGTGATCACTCGCCGCTCAAACTGCCTAACACAAGGACGAAACTTTGAAGCAAAAATGATGTCTTTTAGTTTATGGAGTTGTCATTAATAGTTGACTCTCTGCTTGCAGAAGCAGCACATAAACAACCTGGGAATCTTTTGTTTTACTTTCTTTTTATTAAACTAAGTCTTGTTTGTTTTAAATCAAAAACAAATTCTCAAGTAACAAGAACCCTTTCCTTGCTTCAGCAGGGAAAGGGTGTGTCTTTGGATTTTATTTAAAGCATGAAATTTCTTTTTCTGAGAGAGGAAAAAAAACAAAAACAAAAACAAACCCCTAAGGAAAACCTTTTTTTTAGGGAGTGGGGGAGAGGGGAAGCACACAGTCCAATTACACAAACAAATATTTTAGATTAGGAAAAGAATATTGGAAGCATCTATCAAACGAGAAGAAGAAGAAAAGGGGTAAAAGGAAAGATAAAAAAATCAATGCACAAGGCTAACAGCCATAGATCATTAGAGTTATATGCCTTTAAAAAGTTTGAATTCCCAACCAAAAATATTCTGAGGATCCTAGTGACCCCTAAAACCCTTTGAAATTCTTTCTTTAGTTTTATAAAATAATTTGCAGCTACCCTCTAAGAAATGAAGGCAGCCATCTTAAGTGGGAGGTTTTAGGGTAGGAGGAAGAGAGGGACAAAAGGGAGAAAAGCTTAGGTGGGTCAACGGATTGCAATCTATCTGCTAGGAATGAACAAGACAACATCAAATGAGGAGCTGTCAGCTGGACCATACAAAAAGCTAAATGTACACAAAAGATTTTTTTTTTCCTTTAAAATCTACCATACTGCTTCAGTTCATTTCCAATGCAACAATCTACTCAACACCAAAAATGGTCATATCTATCATAAATACAGAAAGTCAGTTTTTAAAACTTTTTTTTTTTTTAAGCTACAAGTCCTCAACACTCTTTGTATGTGTGGGTTTGTTTGTTTTTTTTTTTAAAAGTGGGAGTGCTTAACTTTTCCCCTTGAAATTGGATTCAGCAGAAAAGCTATCCTTAAAATCCCCAGAAAGCTAAAGCAGTTCACATTGTTTTTCCTCGAATACTTTCTGCCCATTTTTAAATTAACAAAACAAAAAAAATTTTC